TATTCACGCACGAAATTGAGTACAGATATTTAAGCATAATTATAAAAATCTTAATTTAACCGATCTACCATAATGTAGATTGTTATACATTAACCGTATATGAATAAGTAAAACCATTTTATTTTGTTTTATCCATAAATTATATCCACCATTTTTTGATAATGTATGAAGATTGTCAAATGATACAAAATGTTAAACGCACATAAACGATCTAATTATAAAATTTCAAAGAATATGTATACCAGTAAGTAAATTGGTCCCAGCATGAAAATAAACGCAAAACTTTTCTTCCTAATAAATGATATATAGTTATGTCTTGATGATAGTATTTGAGATACAAATAAAATTAATGTAACCAGAATCTAAATTTTTGTGGTTCTTAGCGACTCATTTAGAGAGAATATACGCTTCAAAAAAAATAGTTGTTTAAGAAAAATCTTATTTAAATAACATGTAATAAACTTCATTGTTAAATCTGCTGCTGATATCTGATTAATATTATAGTCTCTCAAATATAAAAATTTTAATAATAAATTTAATTTATTATAAAGGGTTACACATGAACAGACGGATGGGTAAGATACCAAGGACCTCTAATAGTTAGTTAGTTGATGAATTATTTTAAAGTATTTTTCATTATCAGACGACTTTGAAACTTGTTATGATTAAAATTTACAAATATCATGTTGCAAAGAAAATTATTTTAACATTGCGCATAAATTGAAAATTTTCATTTTTCTGTATATACCTGATACAGTAAAATATTTCGTCATGATGGCAAAAAGAATTTTAAAATACTAAATCTGAAATTCTTTTAATTCTTTTTGATATTACTTAATATTATAATATACGAGCCAGGAAAGTCAACGAGCCAAGAAATTTTTTGACTCAAGATTTGAAGCGTGAGCATAATTTTGCCTGGCACGAATTGACCGGCACTATAGATCACGTGATTGAGTTATGATCTTGAACGCGAGTTTGAACTCAAGTTATTATTATTACATGTGTGCTAGATAAGTCATATTATTTTAAACCAAGCTAAACATAGACGAGATAATAATTGTGTATTTTATTTTAAAATAAAGACAAATTTCTAATTTCTTTTACAAAATATGAATTGCTACAGACAAATTTTACTACTATAGAACTGATTATTGGTATAAAAATATTATTCAACTTTACTAACTATTCTAAATGAATGTTCTGTTGTTTAAAAGCTTGAAAAGTTTTAAGTTTTTTATTGATAAAAATATATAATTTCCATAGAAACACTTTTGGGATTTTATATCATTCCAGAACTAAGAAATATAAACACATGAATTCCGCATTTTAAAAATAGTTTAATATCGTTTATTTCTTACTAGGAAATCTGAAAATATACTTCTAGAATTTATTGATATCATAATTAGTAATAAATATTTCTTTATCTCTATTGTTAAACTAAAGTATAGATAATATATTAAATAATATTTTTATCAATTAATTCTGAAATGAACTAAGGCACTCTAGGATAATTTCTCATTAATCCTTTGTAGCCAGATTTCATAGCAAAGTACGCCTACGCATTATATATGAAACCCAAAAACCTGAAATTTATGAAACCAATTCAAAGAGCAACAAAAATTGCGTAATCCCGTAAAGTGAGAGGAAATAATAAAAAGAAATTTACTAATCCAACTCACGTGGTTGTTTGCATCTGTTGGAATTCGGGATGTTATGAAGAGTGAAGGAAATTAGATGATACCCAACGTATGTAAGCCCGATCATCAATATCTTGTGATACGGTAAATTAACATCCGTCGTGCGAGTTGGGAGCGTACATGTTAAATATTTTTTTATTTTTTTTATTTTTATTTCACAGAGAGAAGAACGTTTCAGTAACGATTACAAAGATAGAATCGAAAGCAATACAAATATAAAACTGTAAACCAAGTCACCACAAAGATAACTTCACTCTGGTAAATAAAAAAGGGGGAAATAACGACGAAGCAATTGAATCCAACAATTATTTGTCCGCACAAAATAAGAAAATAATCCTACTAAGAACTAAAAGCACGATTGTTATACCTACTCCCGTATTCATTTGGTCTCTATCAAGACTTTTGATTGGATGATAATAAATGTCCCATTTTGCGATACGTATTAATCTCCTTGATATCTACATAGTATACGACTCTTCTTGTAGCATCTCCATTGATCCCTCCCAAGCGTTTTTTGGAAATATTAAAATAATTAATGATTGATTCAATTCAGTGACCATAGCTAGACGGATAATCATACCCGATTCATAACTTCAGAAAATACCTAATTGCATCTTCCATATCTCTCAGGATTTTTAGTTAGAAGGATAAGATAAAAAGTCTATCAGTAATTAATCATGATGTCTACGGTTTATCTTCTTTACAGAACTTACCTTTATTTTCTTTTGATCCCAAATGTTTACTTTCAATTTCTTACTGACATAAGAACGATGACATTTAAACCAGAAATCTGCACCTGTTCTATATATGAGAACAAATAACTGCTATTCGACAATTTGATAATTCGACATTACGTGGTAATTCGGCATTACAGTATTATGGCGGCATAATTTATTATTTTCGCTGCCGTAATAATTTTGCATTGCCTGATTCTATATTACGCCCTTATGTACACATCTGTTCCAGTTATATAAGCATTTTGTTTTCATGAATACGTGTAGAATTTCCATTCTTGTGAAGGACATATATATGGGACATTTCAATGATCAATTCACTGATTATTGAGTATAACTCACCAATATATTTATGTACGGTACATGCTGGAGTTCAGTTTCAGTTAATGTTATAATAATAGGAAGCGAGTAAAAAATGGCACGATACTCTGTAAAGTATTTGCTTTAAGGCTAACTTATTGTCTAATACAGAAACGATTAAAGCGGAGGAAAATGATTGAACGTCTAGGTAACCTTTGATTAAAATTTAACGTAAAATGATTTGATAGCAACGTCAGTTGAGATAAAAGTCTGTTTCTTAATATTACGCCCTTGATGAATCCTAATTCAGTGACGCTATTATTACCTTTGTAACATTTGATGATATTACGATGAATCATTTAATTTTTATTCAGTCTTATGCAGTAATAATTTACAACTGTTATCGAACATCATTTTATACAATAAGGTGAACTAGTTGATGTTTCGTATTTGTGGACCTATATCTCTTTTTTTTTTTGTATTTAATTTTTAACTTTTTTAAAATTTTAGTATTAAAAATAATTCTACTAATCAAACATGTTACGAACTATGCAAAAAGATATACGGTATATTAACAAATAATAATAGTAGTAAATACATTTTAAATTGAAGTAATGCCCTAATAACACTCTTGGTACTTGATATTGTTTTCAAAATGGTTGAAATTGATATCGTCCACGTAAGATGGTGACAAAAAACACAAAAAAAGGTCAAAAACACAAGAAAAATAATGTGTAATGTACAGCTCTTGGAAGATTGAAAGCACTATTGGAAGCACCTTTGGAACATAATTTTCTAATAAAACCCAAATTTTTATACTATTAATGCACATCACTGATTTACAGTATGTAAGATAATGCAAAATCACAAAGAAAATCTTATGTTCTCGTAAAAATCACATGATTGCCAATCATTTGGTTATTGTATCGATTAAAAAGTCCTGGCGTTACATTACATACATTACATGTTTTTCTTGTGGTTTTTTTTGTGATAAATTTCAACAAACGGCTTAAATTAGATTTCTTAATAGTTTTTCATGATAACTGAAAATTAATTCAGTAAAAAACAGGTTGCGTTTTTCTCATGTGGTGAAGAATTGAAACCAAATTTATAGGTTACATTTCGCTTCTTCCCTAAAAATAGAACATTCTTTGAAATATTTGACACAAATAATAATAGAATGTTATTTATTAAATTTTGCTTCCTTTTTAGTGAAATTCATTATAATGCATGTATTGTACCACTGACAAAAAGGTTTTGCCGATTTTAATGTATGGCGTAAATATTGAGATTGACCGATCATTCCTATTTTCATCAAAAAAAAAATATGATACAAAGGAGTTAGTTGTATAACGTAATTCCATCTTTATTACATTTTTTTACTAGATTTAAATAAACGATTGTTTGATCCACTTTTTTACATTTTTGAAGTACTTTAATTGTCTATTTTTAAACAAATCAAAAGACAATTTATTTGTTTACATTCATATTCCACAAATAATTCAAATATCCTTCTTTTTTCAATTTAATTTTAACTTGTTAGTACATGTTTTGATGATCATCAAGAGTCATTATCTTGACAAATTAGGACTTTTCCAATCAGATTTTACAAATACAAAATGAAAGAAGTTGGAATACAATTATGAAACAATCCGTTTTGTACTCACATAATTTGAAATTTTAGAATTACGATACTAGCCTTTCATACTTTATAATAATGCAATTTATTTCTGGTACTGAAATTAAATTTAATTTCTTACATCAAAAAAAAAAAATGAATAATAAAAAGTTACTATTTCATAAATTATCTTCCCGTACCTGACGAACTTTTTATCGTTATCTATTTTCATATACGTTCTAATTATAATATAAAATTGTAACTAAGACTTCGTAAATGCCGAGCACAATTATTGCTTGGTATCATGTCATGTGTTACTTACTATACATCATGAAGGAACTTGCAGAACCCTAATTGTAACGTTGTAAAATGAAACAGAATCGGGAATCAAGAAAATTGGCGTCAAATCTTTGCGAAAATAAGTTATTTTAAATAAAAGCTCCGTAACTCCGTCAACACAACAAATTATTTTTACACATATATACTAATTTTAGACTTCATTCATTTAGTATTGTCTTCGAAAACATTCTTTTGAGAATTTCTTTATTTACATTTTTTTGGTATTCATCGGCTCATTCATTTCGTTATAAATAACGCGTCAAATTCCCAACTTTACCTTCAGTTATTTCACGATAATTTCAAAGAAAATAACTTTTATTTCCAAACAATTCTAAAATTCTACAAATTTCCACGATTATTCAAAGAAACAACTTTTTGTTTTCAAAAAAATCAAATATCATCATGAAATTCTCTATCGTATTACTTGTACTCGCAATCTTGGCCTTCAGTACATTCGTTGCTTCTACGCCAGCTAAAGGTGACCCAAGTGATAGAGTACCATCAGTCGTCGATAATCAGAAAAGAGGAGATGGTATAAGTAGAGTACCATCAGTCGTCGATAATCAGAAAAGAGGAGATGGTATAAGTAGAGTACCATCAGTCAGCGACAATCAGAAAAGAGATGAAGTACCAACTACTATTTGGAAAAGAGGCGATCCAATCGATAGAGTACCACATTCCAGCAGTAATAAGAAAAGATCTTTGGTGGAAAGACAGAACAACAAGTGCCTATACGGATATCATTGGTGTTATGACAACTACGGTGGATGTTGCCCAAATTATTCCGTTTGCTCATATCCTAATAAATGCACTTCAAAATGTTAAACGATGTGCAGTTACCTCTACTCACAGTCTATTTTTTTGGAAGACTAATTTTTGATTTTGTTATTGGATTATTCTAATTATTACTATTTAGCTTAAGAATTTTTTTATTTTTCATTAATCATGTACTTTTTTTTTATTTCATTAAATTAGTTATATCATGTATTTCTTTTATTAAATGTTACTGATTTTATTTTGCAATACGATATGTATTATTTAAATAAATAAATTTATTTATTTTGTTTATATTATCATTTAACGGATTGATCAAAATATTTTTATAATTAGTTTCTTATATAATGAATTAAAAAAAAATACTCTAATTCTTTGGAATATAAAGATAAAATAAATCGATATATATGATAAATTGTCAGTAACCTCGATTAATAACATTTTCATGAAATATTTTGGTGATTGAACCTTCAAGACAATTTCTATAAAAAAAAAGTTAACAAAAAACATTAACTTATCTACCGATCAAATTATTTTAAAGCAACACGTAATAGACTTGAAATAACGTGTTACACGTTACGTAGATATATTTTATTTCAGAAATTTCAAATTTATTGCCATATATGTAAAAGTAATTCCTGTTTATTCATTTAGTATAAAGTCAATGATCATTATAATAATTGTTGCTTAATGTGATTATTTGGTGCTATCCCAAATCTGACTTAAAATACTTTTCCGTGGGAGTAAACAATGATGATCAATATTAACCCGAACCTGGTCTATCACGTGATAACACTGTAAAATTTTAAAGGCCTGAATAAAAGTAGAAGTGATAAAAAGAAATTTTAAGCTAATGTTCATATCTTCATAAGAAACTACAGAAGAAAAAAGAAGAGTTGGACCAAAAAAAAAAAGAATAAATCGATCTGCAAATTCACCTAATGAAAAGTCATGAAATCCCGTGTATGCCGATCCGTTTGCATACGAAGGTGATTAAATCCCATCAATAAAGACACTAAAAATAATTAAATATCAAAAATTAAAAATAACCAAAGAAGGAAAATAACACCAAAGATCAAGGATCAAACGAAAATACCCAAGATAGAGCAAAAATAGACAATATTATCCAAAACTTACAAGCAATCCCAAAAAATAAATAACACGAAAAATAGAAGTTATTGTCCAAAGCCGATAATAATATTCTTACTTTGAGATATTTCAAGAAGAGTTGTTTCTAAATTATTCTAAAAAGAAATATATCGTAAAGAACAACAAGAAAATAAATAGAAAACGAAAATACATATTTCAAAAAACCAAGAACGCCAATTTAACTTTGCTCTATGATAAGGTCAACTGAACTCGTCGATGATTTTTTTTTTTACGGCGCTAAAAGATGAATTTTGTGAGTATAAAAATTTTGTTTTTGTAACGAAGGTAAATTTTGCTAGTTATGCGCGATTTTGTAACACATCTAAATAAATGGTATGAACGAAAAAAGTAAATTTTAGCAAATTTGCAATTTGTGTGAAATGCCGGACTAATGAGGTCTAGATTAAAAGTAAATTACCCATAAATTCCATAAATTCATAAAAGTTACATGCTGATAATAAAACAGGTATCAGCAGGTATCCATCAATTTTGCAGCATCTGTTGGTGATTTTTATGTATGGCGTAAATAAGAGTTTCATAACGTCATATTAGGCAAATTTGATCTTTGTTGCATGCATATATTTGTTATTATTTTTTACTAGATTTCAAATTAATTCAAAATTTTTCTTTTCTTTTCATATGACTATACTATCTTTAGTAAATGACAAACAATATGTAACTCCCTCCTTTTTTTTGGCAAATTAAAATTTTTATGGAAAATTTAATTCAGAATTATTTAACTCTTTTTAATACATTGTTTTGACGATCATGTTATAGAGTAGTCTTTATTTTAACAAATTTGGTGTAATAATAATGTTAAGATCATCCAATCAGATTTTAAAATTACAGAAAATCGTTTATATTTGCATATTTTACTACAAATTATTTTACCAATTAAATTTTAATATTTACGGTAGTCGCACTCATGATTATGAACAAACTGAATTATTCGGACAACGTCCTCCGAGCATAAGAGTTCACGGAACTTTGATTTATAAAATACTTATTTTTACAAATAATGAACGCCTATCATATTCGGGATGCATAAACTTGCTTTGACACTACAATATATAATAACAACATAAAAGAACATAGATAACGATGTTATAATCAGATATGCAAAAAATTTCGTTCTCATCGGTTGGTAATTTTTCATAAAACATTTGCTGGCATAGTCTAAAATGAAGTGTGTACAATGTGATTTTCAAACGAAATATTTTTAATTAATAAAGGGATAAAATAATTGGTAAAAATAAATTTATATTGCTTAAAATATTTCGAATAGTATTTAGAGTAATAAATCGTTTACTTTCCTTTTAAAGAAAAACGTAGTACTTGTAGATAAAAAGGTATGTTCTATCCGTTGTGATACGATTACGTTATGGCGTAAAAAATGTTGGAAGATAAAAAAGGTGTATGGTATTGTTTCGTAAAGTAAAAATCTGATCATGATACGATTGCGTATGGCGTAAAAAAGATCTATATGATACTAATTATAATAAAGAAGTAAAATCATTTAAATGAAATTACAATTTTGGCTGTCATTCAAAGAATCGGGATATGGTATGTTTCCCGATCCGCTTTGTTTTGTAGAAACTCACATGGCCATACTGCCACGTAACCTAAATTCAACATGTTTTATTCAGATATGTAATATTGTTTTGAATTGACGGTTACTATATCACGGGGTCGTCTAAAGCCGTGTTCGATCATGTGACTTGACATTTTATAAATAAGCCATTTTTTTATGAACTAAGATTAATGTAAGTATGAAAGTTATAGAATAAGTGTATTTTGGCCTGCTTTACAAGTTTACTTAGCTGTTAGTGAAAAAAGCTGGTTTTAAACACTGTTTTTGACTTTACATATGAATGAATAATCTTTGTCGATCATATCCAAAAATGGATGACGAAAATGAAAAAATTCAAATAAGTCAAAAACGGTGTTCAAAACCCCATGTTGCGCACTAAGTAAACTTGCACAGCAGGCTAAAATACACATACTATGTGTAACTTGAAAGTTTTATGTATTGGCGAAAAAGTTTTATTTGTAAAAAATAAATTTTTACAAGTCACGTGATAGAACACGGCTTTAGACGACCCCTATATCACGTATAAAAAATTTTATCCGTTATTTCTCGATAAATTCCGTGATATAAGATTATTAATTCTGGAAATATGCCGGAATATTAAACGGGATCGACTTTTTTATAGAGGCACCATTCCATCCTTATAATCATTTTACAATCCAGAATCTATTAATTATCTTAATAAAAAGTTTTTATATTTCGATTTTAAGAAACTAAATTCTATTCCTAGATCCTAGAAAAGATATTATTGTTTTGATCCTTTCTTTAAAAAGATATATTAACCTCCGTTTTACAATCTTATCGCGGTAGAATGTTTGTCATTTTTGGCTGCAAGAAATCATAAATGATTTAATATTCATTGTCAAATTAATTTATGTAAATTTATTAATTGTAAGAAAAATAAAATTACTAAACATCGCCTGGACGATCATCGCCTTTACCAGCATTAGGATGGAACTTGGGGCAGAATTAAAAATATGAATGTAACTCCGCCCAAAATCCATCCTAATGCTGGTAAAGGCGATGTTTAGCAATACCCTTAGCCACATTTTGATATATAAAAGTTTCAGTCTTTTTGTGATATTTTTTTTTTAATAAGTGCAAATGTGAATAAATAGCTTAACTTACACATCAAGCTTAATTATTTATCAATAATTTATTTTCGTATGTTATCTTTTATATACGAAAGAAGATATTTGGAACCTATTTAAAGGATCATCACGTTAAATTGCAAATAGGGCAGAATCAAATTTCAAAAAATTTCTTACGCATCTCGCGATATTATATAATTAATCTGGTTACTCCCAAAGTAACATTTTAGGTACCAAATAAAAATAGAACAAATTTTGTTCTTTAACATATAAATTTTATTAATGTATTATTACACCTGAATCTAAATAGATACCTACGAATTACAAAACATTGATTCATGGGAAACTATATTATTAGAGTTACTAGTAATCGCTTAGTAAATGGCGCAGTAATAAATGAGAATTAATTAAAATTTGAATCCTTTTTAAATTTCAAAACATGTTCAGTATTGAAAATAAATTGTATTATTGTGAAAGAGAATTTACGACATCATGTTCTAAATGTTAACATTATGATTATGTGAGTCGTTTCGTTACTGGTATATATTATATCTTCATAATAAAGTAGGCATTCGTGAATTAATTTGGCATTCTGGATCCATTCTATAATATGATGCTAATATGTTTGATATTTTCTCTAGGCGACATATTTTAATCGTGTCAATAAAATTTTAATTTTTAAGCGTAATTACCGTACGCTTGCAAAATTACTATTTTGCGCATAATTTCGGCCAGGAAACATAATTTAGCATAAATCTGGCCAGAAGCTTATATTGAATAATGTTTAATTTTGGAACTATAAGGTATCTTATTTATTTTTAAAAACGTGAGCTTTTGATTTATCTGCGTTTATAATTTAATTTAACTCCTCATAGTTTTAATGTTAATAATATTATGAAAAGAATATTCTTTTCAGTCGATTTTTTTTCTTTTTTTTTTTTATAAGGTGCGATCGGCAGTCCGTTTTTTTTTAAAAAAAAAAATTTTGTAATTTTTAAATTTTAATTACTTGACATATATGGATCATTTAAGACTAAGTAATTGTTCGTTGCAATGATTCTATTTTTCCTCTTTTACTTTTGAAATTCGACAATTGTTCTTTAAGATAACAGACAGATATTGTTAATGAAACATTTTCATGCATCTAATATTTTTAATTAATTATTAAAATATAGTAATGATATGCAATTCTTGAACAACATGCCGCAAAAAAAAAAATATATATAAATTTGGATCTTGTACTTCAAATTTCGGCTGACCACGATATTTCATTATTTATTCATATATGGTTAGCAGACATTTATTTAAGGTTTCACCGGATTTTAAAGATGACAATATTTTTTAATTTAATTCAAAAAAAGAATTATGTCTACGTAAGATGTATATAAAATTAGATTGTGGTAGTAAAATATGAAAGAATATTAAGGGGCTATCGGAACTTTAAAAAAATTCATGGATTTTTTTTTCCTACGCATAAATACCGCTCCAATTAAACTTTGATCGAAAACTATATTTATTTGTACGATGTAACTCAAAAAATTTTTTTAGTACGGTTGTCTTGGCGATTATAATTTTTTGTGCATCGGAGTCATTACACCGTAAATAAAACTTTTAATACACAAGTAATATTTAGACAATAGACATAATACGAACAAATCAATAAATGAATATCTTAAAAAATTTATAATTTATCCCTTATTGTACTATGTAACATTAACACAAAAAAAATGTGCTTGTGAAAAAAAAAAAAAAAAAAGATAACACAAATCCTAAGCATTTTTTCATCAATGATAAATATTTTAGGGAATGAAGAAATCTTATTTTATAAAGAAAAATGATTGGTTGCATCTGATCAAAAATGGGTGAGTTATAATGTTACAATAAATAATGTTAGCTAATTATGTAAATAAATTCACATAAATAAAAAAAAGGTTTCACACAACCTTTTTATTACCTAAACATAAGTCAGTTTAAGAAGTTCATTTAATGATGGATTATTTTCTTGATTGTTATTGTCTGTGTCACTTAGATATAGGTTGAAATGACATTTTGAACTAATATGAACTAATATAGTTAATACATCTTTTTTTAGTACAATTCGAAAAAAAAAAATCAAATAAAAAAATTTCCAAAATTAAATTCTTAAAATATCTATCTACTATGAGATTAAACCATTTTAATGATACAATTTATGATTGATTGTCTTGTTTTTAATGACAAATTAGTAATAAGATACTGTAACACAAGCGTTTATGAAAATTTGCTAATAAAGTAAGTAAATCTATGAATTGACATTAGGAAAATCTCAAATAATTTAGAAGTAATATACAGTATATCGCGTTTGTTGCTTCAATTTAAAAATGTAAGTCATATTAGTTACGATTACACAGGAATATTTATGCTTAGTACTTCACTTAAACGGTGAGATGTAATGTATTGTAACGTAGTAAAATGATGAAGATCTAAGGATCATGAATTCTTGGCATTAATCCCTTGTGAGAAAGACAGTAAATTCATAAACTTGCTATTTAATTTGAAACACCACCGTTATCAGATTACACACAAAGAAACTTTTTTATTACGCATACCAATTCGAGACTGTGTAAATATCTTTCATTCTATAAGTATTGTCTTTAAACTTTATGATGCATTTGTTTGGTATAATAACTGTACACAAAACTTCGCCTAGCTCATTCAGCTCTCCACTTATAAATACGCGTATTAAATTCCCTAGCTCCATATTTTATGATAATTTAACTTTGATTTCCAAATAATATCAACATTATCATGAACAAATTTATTTTAATACTTGTGCTCGCAGTCGTAGCCTTCAGTACAATCGCTTCTGCTACGCCAACTAATTGGAAAAGAGGCGTTACGTTTAGAGGAGCAACAATTCCTAAGGGCAAATCATCTTTGGAATCTTTGATTGAAAGACAGGTTCAATGTGATCTCGGATATTTTCAATGTTCTAATGGATGTTGTCCTGATTATACGTCTTGTATTAATGATCACCAATGCAACATTCCATGCACCACTAGTGATATACCTTGCGGTGATGGCTGCTGTTTCTCAACCGAAGTTTGCACAATCGATCCTAGCAATCTACCTTTGTGTTACAGTAATTAAGTTTATCAAAATTTTTATTTTTGAGAGTATTTTTTAATTCTTAGTAATTATTATTCTTATCTAATTATCTTAAGTAATTTGTATTTTTTTAAATATCAAAACTATTATATAAAAGACCTTGTTACAATATGTACGTTATTTGAATAAAAATATATTTTGTTTATTTTGTTTATTTTTTATTAACTATCACAGATTTATAAAGAGTATGAAAAATAAATCAACAATAAACGTGTATTTAACGTCTAATAATGACACATTCATTTTTTTTTTGACTTTTTATTTCTTATCTAAATAAGAAAAGTGAATACTAGAATTATTTCAAATTCATTTTCGAATTTTCGATATATTTAGTATTTTTAGGATTATCATGAATATTATACAATTGATTAATAAATGTTTTTTTTTAAACCATGATTGCGAAAAACAAATTTTTATGTCAGTTTGTGATTTGTTAATCCCCTAAATTCCTTAGACTTGCATCAACATATTAAAACAAGATATTTTTATTCCAAGAACGATAGTGTTTTATTAATTTTTTTTTTTCAAAGAAAAGATTAGAATCGACATTCATCGATCAATCAATTAAGCGTTTACGCACTGTAATAAATCAAATATTTTTTCACATTAAACTATAAAAATAACAAAAACATATATAACGCTGTTAAGTCTCGGTGACAATAATAAGATTAGCAAATGTGATTAATTTTCAATTATCCGTCTAGATAAAAACGTAATTACTTAGATTTTGATGAATATCAAAATATAAGTAAATTTGATAGTTAATAAATCAATTTATAATAATTTTATGATGTAATATGTATCAATATTTTAGGTAATTAAGTTACATTAATATTAATATTTTGGCAACGCAAGGTCATAAAATAATTTTTTTTAATTTTTACACAATGCTTTTACTGTGCTAGAGATCAAGCAATATGTTTACATTATCTCATCAGTAACTCATCACCAGAATTAAGTAGTAATAACAAAAATAACAGTAATAATTATTGAGTTTTTACATCCTTTTGGAATCTGGTGGTCTTAGATAGAGATGCGATCCGAAATCCGTCCATCCGTTAAATCCGGTCGTAAATTTTCAGATCCGGCGAACAGATATTGTACAATGCCGCAAATCATTAGCCCGTAATTTCTTTTCCTTAAAAAGCCATTTCTTTTTTAACATCATTGACATTAATTCAATTCTACTAATATCCAAATGATGAAGAAAATTTGTAAAATGGAGAAAAATTAGTTAATCTTTGTTCATAATAATTAATGAAATTTTCATTTGATTTCTATAAATGATATGCTTTTTCTTATATATACAGGGACTGATTAAAAAACACAGAACAAAAAAAACATTACAGAACAAAAAAACATTGCAAAACAAAAAAAATATTACAGAACAAAAAAAGAAAAATTCTCAAACTCTAACAATATTTTGCAATGAAATATATTTCCTTGTTTATCGTTCTTATTTGTACCATCCATGGTTTGACAGTTCATGCATCGCCTCTCAAAGTGGGTAAGAGATTAATTATTTTTATTTATAATTTTTTATCTTTCTATTTTCTCATGCATTTAACATTTTCATTTATAGTTAGATCTAGTCACCTCATGAAACGTTGTACACCTGGTGGCTTCCGTGGAGATTGTAGTGCTGGACAACCATGTCAATTTAATGGGGATTGCATGATGGGTCTTTATTGTAATGGAATGATATGCATGATTTGAATTTTTGAGTTAAATTATTTTAATATTAGTGAATGTATTAGTTATTTTACTTTTTCGCTGTAAAGAAATTATATCTATATTTTTTTTTAATTAATAAATATTTCTATCATACAAATATTGCATTCTTGACCTATACGATTTACTTTCTTGACTTGTGAATACAGTGACGATCAAAAGTAATGCATCGCCAAAATGAAAAATGTAAAATGATGATCATGATACAGTAGTGCGCCTTATTAATAACGAGTTTATTAGCTTTGAGATAAGAATGCCGAAAAGCCTGTATAATGTGTCAAGCTTTAATCGTACATAATTTTTAATAAATTTGTTGATCGTACTAACCATGAAATTCAATAGTTAGTTTGATGCCCAAATATAGCTTAAACTTTTCCAGCATTTTTATATTAAGCTTGAAGCTTGAAGCTTAAAGCATATACTTAAGTGTAGGCTTAAGCATAAGCTTAAATCAAGTATTGGCAATTAGTTTCTCTACGGATTGCAGGTTAATATATATATATTTTTTTAAGAAAATTAAAAAAAAAACGTGATTCTTTTCAAAAAAAATGACGATCATGTATGTAATCATGTACGTAACAAAATGATAAGATAAGCGTAATTATTTATTAATAACAAGATGAACTAAAAATTCCTGATGGTAAGTTCTTAATTAATTAGTTTGCTTTAAAAAAAAATCTTATATTTTTAGATGGATTTTGAATAATCATTTAACAATGTTTTTTTTTATATTTTAAATTATTATCATATATTTATTTATTTATTATTTTATCTTGGATTATATAAACACTAAGACTAGATAGAGTAGTGTTTTACAAAATTCTTCGTTTGTAATTTAAATAATTTTAATAAATGTATTCAAATTATTAAATGACCTCATGAAAGCTGAATATAACAAGATAATGTGCACACGTTCTATCTATATTAAAAATTTGTTTTTGATTTTTTCAATAACCTCTTGTTAATTCCATAAAATTTATTATATATATTTGCATGATATAATAAAATACATAATTCTCATAATAATTAACAAAAAATTTTTATTGTAAATTACTTGATGCATCAAAATTCTTTTTTTATAACATAAAAGTAGGAACTTCAATTTTCTCAAACAGCCGCTTTAAGGTTAAGCTGTTTCAAGAAAAGGATCTTAAACGTACTAGCATTAATAAAAAAAAATACAAAAAAAAAATAGATCATTATAAAGCAATTTTTATTGTAAAACCGTTTTCTATATTTAACATATAATTTCATAATATCACTATATTTAATGCTTATATAATTAAAATACTTGTATATATATTAGAAATTCCATAGCTAAAATGAAAAAATATATAAATTAATTAAAATGAATATTGAGCTATTCTTGAAGAAAGTCTAATAATTTAGGTCTTCTTTATTAGAGAATTTTGTCATCTCACTTTAATTATGAGTGGTAAAAAACGATTAATTACATAACATTTCTTTTTATGTATATTAATAAAATTCTATTACAATAAATAATTCACTAATAATTGTGACTATGTTATTTCACTAAATATTAAATTAATAATTGTGGTTATGTTATCGATTATCAAATTACAGTAAAAAATTAAAATTCGGTGAAATGATTTTCGGAGAGATTGATTTTTGGTGAAACAGCCCTGTCAGTGAAATGAGATGATTTTCGATGAAATAACCCTGTCGGTGAAATGAAATGATTTTCGGTGAAATGACTGTCGGTATGATTGTTGGTGAAATGATTTTTAGTGAAATAGTATAACTTATTTAAGTGTGCCCCTGTAAATCCCAATTCATTCGTAGTACTAAATTTATAAAATTTTACCATTTTTTCAATGATTTATTAAAAAAAGAATAGATAAATTAATAAAATTCTATGAAAAATTCATTCATCGGAGTGGTAACTCATTTGATCTGCAAAAATCAATTTCCGATTAAATAAGAAAATTCTCATAGATAATTTGTAACCTTATTGTTTTACTAATATGTAATCAATTTTAAAAGTGTTTCACAAGTAGGGATTGGAATCGATTATCGAATCTTTTTAAGATTTTTTCATAGACGATCGATGATGATTTATTTAAAAGTATCAAACTTAATGTTAATGAATTTGTTGGAGAGGGAAATGTTGCTGACAAATTTAATATAAAATGTAGATACTTAAAAGCGGATGAGAGCATTGATAATAAAGTGAAAAAAAATCCATAAACAGATTATAACATATTAACTGAAAAAATATTAAAGGGCGTGCCAACTTGATTCCTGACGCCACCCTAGTTATTTTTTAAGAATGTTGCGTTAACATGTAATAAGTGATTAATAAAAAAAAAACATTTTAAAATGTTTTTTAATTATTTAACCGTGAAAACATTTTAAACCGTTTTTCAATTATTTTAACAGCGAAAACATTTTTTATTAAGCAATTTAATAAAAAAACAGTTTCGCACCATTTTTTAATTGTTTTAATAGAAAACATTGCGAAACTGTTTTTTATTAATAATTTTATTAAAAAATAGTTTTCATGCACTTTGTTTCTTACTATTTTTATTTCATTATTTTTAGATCCTTTAGTCCTTCCAGTTCTGTTCAGTTGTTTTCACTTTATATTTTGTTTCTGTTTCATATTTTGTATTCACTAATTTTATTTCATTTTTTTTATATCTTTTAGTTCTTTTGATTCTATAATTAATAAAGGGAATTTTTCTAACTATCACCAGGGGGGTGATGATCACCGGTGACTAAAATTATGACGATCGACCAGCATTAAAAAAATATAGTGCCAGAAAAAATTGATAATTCTGGCCAACGGTGATGATCACCCCCGGTGATTTGAAGTAAAAAGCTAATAAAGGTATATTTTTTATTGTTTATTTATTTATTTTATTTCATTTCTATCTTATATTTAACTTTATTTTTTTTTTTTACTTCATGGTTTTATTTTTACTTGGTTTCCTACCATTATTATTTTTTGCTACCCAATTTCCTATCTCCTCTTCATCTTCTCATCACTTCTTTTCGTCTCCCATCACTCCTCTTCATCTTCTTATCACTTCTTTTCGTCTCCTATCAATCCTTTTTGTCTTCATCTTCTCATCACTCCATTTCGTCTCCCATCACTCCTCTTCATCTACCATCATGCCATATTCTCCTTTTTGTTTCCTATCACTTCTTACTACT